GTAGAATTCAAGTTGGTTGGTTGAAGTGGAGGAATGCTTCGGGCCTTTTGTGTGATAGAAAAGTACCGCTAAGACTGAAAGGAAAATTTTATAAGATGGTGGTGAGACCTGCAATGCTCTATGGCGTTGAATGTTGGCCTTTAAAAGAGAAGCATAATAATAAGTTAAGTGTTGCCGAGATGAGAATGATTAGGTGGATGAGTGGCTTTACACTTAGAGACAAAATGTGAAATGAATATATCTGTGATAGGGTTGGTGTAGCTGCTGTGACGGACAAAATTAGAGAAAGTTGTCTTAGATGGTTTGGTTAGATGGTTTGGTCATATTAAACGTCGACCATTAGATGATCCGATTAGGAGAGTAGATGTTTTAATTTCGACTAATGTTAAGAAAGACAGAGGTAGACCTAGGATGACTTGGGCTTATTGTATTAAAAATGATCTTAATTTACTAGAACTAAATGAAAATATGACACTAAATAGGACAATGGAGAAAAAGGATTCATGTAGCCGACCCCACGTAGTGGGATTAAGACTTTGTTGTTGTTGTTGGAAGCTCAATGACATCCACCTCAGAAAATAAATCTCCAGACGTACAAATTCAAGAAATTGTCAAATTTGTACAAAATGCTTCCCGATGAAGCATCAATTATAAGAGTTATATGAAAGACAAATGAAAGAATTATTTGAATTAGAAGACAATTTGCCTGTGGAAAAAGAAGCTCTCATGAAGAAAATTGGAAACAATTGGTGGCCCAACACACACCGAAATGACGACATAAGGTTGACAACTAAAGGAAAGTGATGCTCCACTGTGGTCACTTTGAAATTATTTTTGCTTTATGTCACATCAAGAAAAATTATTTCTTTATCTATAATAGTAATTACGATATTTATGGTTGGTGCAATAGTAGTGGTTTTTGTAATAGTGTCTGTAATAAATTGGGTTATTGTAATATTAATGGTTGTTGTAATAGTGTCTATAAAAATTTGGGTTGTTGTAATATTCCTTCTCCTCTTTACCTATTTAAGGAGAGGCATTTTGCCAGTATAAGCAGCGAAAGATAGAGTGCTTTCGTCATAGCAAAGTAAGGGTGCTTTTATCTAGTGTTCTTTCAAATTCTATAAATTCTGCAAGACTTTTCTTAGAATAGATATTTGGCCATCATTTAGACCAATTTGCACAGGTTGATAAAGTTCTAATTAACAAAAGTTTACAATGGAGATAAAATCATGCTAGTGTATCAATATGAGCATGCATTAAGAAATCTCTTACCAAAGAGGCAAAATTGTCCTCTATTTAGGTGGTATTCGACTTTGTGGTTAACATCATTATATTAATATTAAGACAACTTATGAGTATTAATTATATGTTCACTGCATAATATCTAGTCAAGCCTCAACAATACGATATTTTAGTTAGGGTGGAGGCCCTTTGACTTATAATGATGTAATAGCCTTATTTGAATTAGTAAAACATAAATTGAGAAGACTTTAAAGAAAAGCAAGGGTGGAAAATCAATAGGACTTGATGGTATCCCAATAAAAATGTTGAATAATTTAGGATATTTGGGAATTTCCTGGCTTACTGTACATTTTAATATTATTTTAAAACTAAAAAGATGCCTCATGAGTGGAGGAAGAGTATTTAGATCCTCATTTTTAAGAATAAAGAGGATGCATAAGAGTATACAAATTTTAGTGAAATTAAGTTAATGTGTCATGCATTAAAATTATGGGAGAGAGTAATTGAATATTGGTTAAGACGTGATTCAATGATTTCTCATAATTAGTTTGGATTTATTCCGGGCATGTCTACTATGGAAGCTATACATTTTTCGAGATGTTTGATGGAGAACTACATTAATTAAGGAGGATCTACATATGATTTTTATTCATTTAGAAAAAAAGCATACAATAAGGTTCCAATAGTTCTTTGGAGAGCTCTAGAAAAGAATGGTGTTGATATGACTTATATTCAAGTCATTAAGGATATTTGCAGTAGAGTTGTTACTTGTGTTTGAATGGAGGAGGATTGACCAAGTATTTTCTTATTTCAATTAGATTATATCAGGGATCGACTTTAAATTAATATCCTTTTGCTTTAGTTATGGATGCTTTTACTAAGCATTTATAGAAGATGTACCTTGGCGTATGCTTTTTGCTGATGATATCCTTGTGGATAAAACTAGAGAGTGTTTAGGAAAAACTTGAATTATGAAGTTCTACATTGGAGTAAAGGCCTTCGTTTGAGTAGAATTAAAATTAAAGACAAAATGTAATTTTAGTAGTAGTCTATTGACAGAGTTGTAACTATGGGTGATCAAATTACTAAAATGTGTAAACACTTTAGATATCTTGGGTCTATTGTTCAAAGTGATGGTGATATAGTTGGGGATGTTATTAGTAGAATACAAGTTGAATGGTTTGAGTTGGAGGAATGCATTGGGCCTATTGTGTGATAGACAAGTACTGCTTAGACTTGAAGGAAAATTTTATAAGATGGTGGTGAGAGATGCAAAGCTTTATGGCGCAAAATGTTGGCTTGTAAAAGAGAAGCATTTAACTAAGTTAAGTGTGCTGAGATGAGAAAGCATAGTTGGATGAGTGGCTTCACATTTAGAGGCAAAATGCCAAATGAATATATCCATGAATGTAGCTCCATTGGTAGACAAGATTAGAGAGAGTCTTCTTAGATGGTATGGTCATATTAAACGTCAAACATCGATGATCCGGTTAGGAGAGTAGATGTTTACATTTGATTTATTTTAAGAAAGGAGGAAGTAGACCTAAAAAGACCTGGGCATTTTGTATAAAAAATGACATTCAATTATTAAAATTAAATGAAAATATGACACTCAATATTACACACTGATGATAAAGGATTCATGTATCTGACCCCATTTAGTGGGATAAAGGCTTGTTGTTATCGTTGTTACATAACCTTAATTGAATACTCCTTTAATGATAAAAGTCTATGAGTCCTGAACCAAATATCATATTGATAAGGCAGTGAACACCTCTATCAACAAAGGTTAGCTTTGAAATTAGCTCTTGGACAACATAACCGTATGTTATTAATTAGAATTTTTCGCTTAGTTTAGATTAACTAACTCCCCCAAAAAAGCGGATTAGGGTCTATCTATGATTGTTTAAAGGACGAAAGAGGGTACAGATGCCCATAATCATTATGCCTATCATCATCTACTTTGAGGTAGCAGGCGTATATGCTTTCTTTCTCAATTCAATTTGCAAGAGCTTTGATTAGATGGGAGATTAGATGGGAAACCATTGCAACTAACCATTGTAGAGCATGTAGAGTACTCTTGATCTAAAGTTCTTTCCAATGATTGATTAGGATAATTAATTATGGGGCATGCATATATAGGTAATCTTGAACCAAGGAAGTAATGTCCTCTGTGAGGGTGAAATTTTAAAGTAGCGCTTTTTCTGCGATTTAATCTGTTTTTTGAAGAATCAAACCACCTACATATCTCTTTTCTTTACAACAAGGTGGGAAAATTTTCAGTGTTCACAGTTACGCCATATTTTTTCATAATTTTAGTAATATTTTGTTTAGTAGTTACTTTGAAGATGTTTGTGAGGTATATAGTCTTCATAGCAGGAGAAAGAAGTTGTTTGCTAAATAAAATGTATAATTCAGTTGTTCTTAATTCATTATAATCAGTTCAGGCAGACATGTTATGTAGTTGGGTATTATAGTAGGCCGGTCAAAATGAACCGCATTTGGTTGTAATGAACTTTTTTTTCTAATGTTTAGTTTTTGAGACTTTTTGAAATGTGATCAGCTTTTTGCAGGTGTGTGATAGATTCATTAATCGCAAACTTGTCCAGCGGATCTATGATAGAGCTCTTGCGATTGGCCTCAAAGGATATGCACAATTGTATGTTCTTATTCATCACAAGCGATTAGTTTACTTTGTTAACTAATTTGAATAATCTCTATCCGCCTGCTACTATAATACCTCTAGTTTGAGAAATTCTCTTGTTTTCAGTATTTTATTTTTTTGTTTTGTAGCCTTTTTTTTTTTTTCTTGAGATGGCTTAGTATTTGAGCTATTTTTGCAGACATCGGCCTGTCTTGACACGTCTTGCCAACTGGGATGGCATCAGAATGGTATTGCCAGTTTTTTTTTTCTTTGTAGGGAATTATATTTTTTAATTGAATTTCAGTTGCTGTCGAGCACTTAATTGATCTACAGGTTTATTGATCTTAAGTAAGTTGGATTATCTTAAGGAATTGTTTCAAAAGTAAATTTTTTATTTATAGGGAATGAAAACTAAAGAGCTGATGTAATAACCAATAAATAAATAAATAAATAAATAAAAGGGAAATTTCGAAATGGCGGCATGGTAATCATCTCAACAATTATAATTAGGAGATGGACATCCACACCCAAATCGGATGAAAACCGAAAGTTAGAGACGGAGGGAAAGAAGCATGAGTAGAAACCCAAAGTGAATGAGGAGAGGCAAGCCCAGTCTTACGCTTGCAAGTATCGGAGTCGAGGGAGAAGTCGTGGCTACGTGCATTTTGTACAATGGAAGACGATGTTGCTACTTTATACACGCCAAGGAGAAGAAGGGGAAGAAAGGAATCTCACATTGTGTGCACCTCTTGTGCAACTTCGTATAGGAAGGGAGTTACGCCTCATCAAATAAGAGTAGAGGAGAGGAGGCGGGTCACGTATGAGCAACTCCTGTGCGAAGGAAAAGGGGACAATCAGTGCCTTTGTGCACGAAGAAAGGAGAGGAGGCAAAGTAGGAGTGTGGGAGAATTATTAAGTTGTGTTGCTTCATGCGAAACTTGTGTAGGGAGGCCAATTGAACTGAAATGAAGAAGAGAAATGGATCTTGCGTTAGGGTAATAGGGAAGCCAAATTGATGTTTTTTAAGGTTAGGGTTAATTTCTTTATTTTGAGATTTTATGTTTCGTTGAAATGAATTAATTATTATTAATGAAATAATAATCAAAATTTTGAATGCATAAAAAAAACCCTGGATTTTTTTGGGTTGGTTCGAGTGAAATTGGGGGCATTGGAGGTAAGAGTTTAGCATTTTATTTAAGTTATTTTAGTTCACTAACTAAATGGTATTAAGTTATATTAAATTCTATGAATTAATTTTAGTGATAATAAATCGTTAAGTAGTTGAATTAAAGGATAAGGGAGATCGAGATTAGTGTTTGTGCAGAGGAAGATGAGGTAATAAGGTAAAATGCGAATTTACTTTTATTAAATTTATTATAAAATTTTTTTTACTATTATTTATTTATGATTAAAATTTAAAACATAATATTTAGGCAAAACAACAAGTTAAAGAACTTGAAAATGATCATTTCATAAGTTAAATGTATTGAAGGATTCGATCAGGTAGCCTTTGGTGCCTTTAGGAATTGGTGATTACTTAGTTTTAGTGGAGCGGGCCTGTTAAGTGGAGATTGATTATCAGCTTAGTCAAAACCGTAAGAAGATGCATAAGAGGAAGAGTATTAATTAAGGACAGCATGTGGATCAATGAGAGGGAACGAATGAGAAGAAAGTCCTAGTTCAATTCAAGCGGATTTAGTAGAGGTGCAACTCAGATTAGTGTATTCTTATGTGTCAAATATGAAAAATAACATAAAAGTGAAAGTTTGATGGGCTCTAATATATGCTACTGGTATAATCAACCTGATCATATAACTAAATATTGTCTTTACTGGCTAGAAGATCTCATAAGACCGAAAATTAGCTGGAGCTCTCTTTCAAAAAACTACAAGTGAGCATAGAAGAATAGAGTCTACAGCTTCAACTTTTAATCAAGGCCAATCAAGGCACCTAATTCGGCCTCGAGTTTATGCCCTTACATAGAGAGCCTGAAGAACCTACTGCGGGTGCTAATGAAATATGGTATGATGAGTATTATATTTTTTTGCACATGATATGGATGTAATTCTACTGTATTTTTATTTTAGAGGGTGTGTGTAATTTTAGTTATGTAACTTTGCTTTAGATGTGATGCTATCCTTGTTATCTTTTATATATATATATATA